TGCGCTGGAGGCAGAAACAATTTTCGATTCAACGCATGCGAAAATTCATATCGCCGCGTTGAAAGAGGGCAGAGAAAAGCCGAAAGGGGGAGAGAGAGAGAGAGAGAGAGAGAGAGAGAGAGAGAGAGAGAGAGATTCGCGCAGAATGGCGAATCGACGTGTTTGCAAATGTTCGACGCGTGGCTGCGACGCCGTGATGGAAGAGAAAAATTGCCTATTTCAGCGTCCAGCATTTTCCCAGGCGTACTGCCCGCCTGGACCCGCCTGGACCCGCCCGGTAATCTAGATTGTGGCTTGCACGTCGACGAAATATTCCCGGTGCGTGTATGATGACCGCGGCTATCTCCGCCCTTTTCGCTCGCGGGTTTTGCGAGAGTGGGCACCACGGGACGTGACCGTTTGGCGCGATACTTTTTACCTCCCGCTATTTCCTTGGCCGTTTTATACGCGACGGCTTTCAGCGACGAATTTATGACAAATTTCTGGACTGCTCGGTAATTTTAATCCACGCGAGATCTGCCTGGTAAAAATATTTGCGAGAAATATTAATGCAGATTTTGCCTCGCGTGCCATTCCGCGTCGCGGATCCAACCAACGTCGATGGAATCAGTTTATTTCTAATGTAACTATTATTTATAAGATTACGACTTTCACGCATTGATTGATTTTAGAATCTAATCATATTCTATTACGGTTGTTTAATCTTTTGTTTCGTGAAAATTAAAATTACTTTGGAACAAACATCGTCATCATTACGCTATAAATGTAAACCACAAAATTCGCGAGGGCCAAATCGACCGGTAGATGCATTTGTTGAAGTGGTCGACACGACGGGCGGTTTTTATCGGCATGGATCTTCTTCCGTGTCGCACGCACGGAGGAAAAGGGTTACGATTGCAATATAGTCGAGCGTGCAGGGGAGAAACGGGTCGGTTGCTTAGAAAGTCGGTGAAGTATTAGCATGCTCATGTCACGCGAAGAATGACCGCCGACTATTTGTACGCCGTTTAAGAGGTTCCCATATTCTGAAAAATATCATACACGGACAGAGATCGAAATGTCGCGATATTTATAATAGCATACTCAAGGGTATATCTAAGTTTCTAATAATGTTATTTAATCATTTATTATACAATTTATTTATACAATTGTGATCACAGATCTGTGTACACATCTCAGAGAAATGCACCTTACGTACATTTTTAATCATACTTTATGTTTAATACATAAGTTTAATCAGGCTTACTTTGATACGGGCTTCATAATATTATGTCTCAGAATTACTCAGAACTTACGTATGAGCTAAATAAAGAATCTTACTAAAGAATTTTTCTCTTCCATTTGCATTCACGTCTAAAAATTACTTCAATTTTATTAAACTCTGTCTGTGAGTGTAAATGCTTCAACACAATTTTCTAACGTCTATCTGTTCTAGGTGATAGCAATTAAAACACGCACCCTCTTGCGTGTAAACATGTCATGCTCCTTATCGCGAGCGAAGGAGGCTTCGTTGATACACGCGATATCTAAGAACGTATCGAATCTGATAAATAAAATATACAAGCTCTTGTGTGTGCGTCAAGAAATCTCGTGTTTCTTATCGTAAACGAGCATGTTGTCGAGCACCTTTACAGTTATTCATAAATAAAAAATAATTTCATCATTTTTGAGACATCTCGGAGAAAAGAGAGAAAAGGGGGGAAACAGAACGTGAGAAGAATGCTCGTTATCGAAGGGAGAACCAAAGTCATATTAGGCGAGTTTGCGCGACATTCGCCGTTGTGAGGTAAAGAGATGAAGAATTTCCGGGAAAACATGTAGCCGTGCGTGTGTGTGTGTGTGTGTGTGTGTCGGGAAAAGCACGAAGAGAGGCGCGATTTATTGGATGAAATGCAAATTGAATCGTAGTTAGCGAGAGGGTGCCGAGAAACGACGCGAGTAAATCGTGCCACCTTCCCGCGCCTCTTTCGGTTCTCCCTCCGTCTCTCTTTTCTTTTTCCCTCTCCTTCTTTATGAGCCATCACTTCTCTCTCTCTCTCTCTGTCTCGATCCCACCGCGTTTTTTCTCCGATAATTCGCACATAAATTCACGACAAATTGAAATAAAAACTAGGTCGATCGAAATGCAATTTACCCGAATGCACAACGGCAGCGCGGCAAGAAGGACCGAGGCAGAGATCGTTTACCTTTCGAGAGCCAATCATGCGCGGGCGTGATTTCCTCCGTGCGATCTTCTCGCAGTTAATTCCCTACTTTGCATCTGTTTCTGATTTTCCCGCGAAACGATTCGCGAAAATGACCGAATTCGTCGACTTCCATCGCTCTATTTTTTTTTTAACTCCGCTCTTTTTTCAGGAGGAAACGATTCATACCATTTACGTTTATCGCTCGTGTACGCGTTGTGTTATTTTCGAGATTTTTCACGTGGAGCAATTTATATTGCTCGATTCACGGTACAACATTTTAAATAGCGAGTCCAAATGGCGCCTTTTATTGCTACATCTATTAAAAGAATACGTATTATAAATAAATGTCAGTGCTTTCGTCACAA